GAAAGACTGCAAATCTCCCACAATTATTAAAAATCATCAAGGATTGCATAATTTTAAAATTGTTGGCTGAGGGGGTTGTAAACTATACTTAACAATTATTGCTAATGACAGAACCACTTGAGCTAGTAATAGTAAATAACTACCATCAACACTCATCTTATGTGAAATTGAGCTGTTGTTTAAGTACATCATAACTTCTGACAGTGGCATTAATGATGATATGATGTGATTTTATCATCCAGAGTAATCATTTAAGATAACTTCTGCATCCTGAATTGATGTTATCTCAGTTCATTAAGTGAAGGTGTTAATGCAAAAAAAAAAAAAAAACCTTCAAAATCAATACCTTTGCAAGAAAATGAGAGATGATCATTTTAAAAAGCTATGAAAAAGCCAAAATAGTGTCAGTGAGGTGGCTCAGCAACTAAGAGAGCTTGCTGCTCTATCCGAGGACCAGAGTTTAGATCCCAGCACACCCACAGCAGGCATCTCACAAGCAAGGCCCATTCTGATCTATGTTGATGGACACACAACACACCTACCCACCCACCCACACACACACATAATCTAAAAACAACAACAAAAAGCCTGCCCACTGTACAAACCACTAGCAAGTTTAGTATTTAATAAATAAAAAACAGAACATAGTAAAAGTATTTGACAATGTTAGGTTTTTTTCTATGCCTTCTCCAGTTATCATTCTGGAAATTATAGCGTCAAATCACCTAAGGTTTGAATGTCCAGCATCTTAACAATATACTCTTTTCATAAAATGCCGTCTCTCCTTAATTGAAATGACATCTGAATTTGAACTCTCCAGAGAAACAGAACCAGAGCTGGGGTTTTAGTTCAGTGGCAGAGAACTTGCCTACTATGTGTGATGTCCTAGGTTTGATTCACAGCACCAGGAGGAAGAGGAGGAGGGGGAAGAGAAAGAGAGAAATCAAGAGAATCAATAGGATTTGTTTGTTTGTTTTGGTCTTTTGAGACACGGTCTATTGCCTTGGCTGGCCTGGAACTTATTATGTAGGCCAAGTGGTCTTGAACACAGAGGTCTGCCTGTCTCTACCTCTGCTTCCTGAGTGCTAGAATTAAAGGTATGCACCACCATAACTAGCCCAGGTTTTTGGTTTTGCTTTGTTTTTCTGATTGGTTGGTTGGTTTTTTTTTTTTTTTTTGAGACAGCGTCCAGATTATCCTGGAACTTGCTATGTAGCTGATGCTATCCTTGAACTCCTGACCTTGCCTTTGCCTCCCAAAGGTTAGAATCAGAGGCATTTGCCACCACACTATGCTAAGAGGGTACATACTAAGGGGTTGGCTGTCATGATTGTGGAGGCTAAGAAGTCCCATGCAGGCCATTAACAAACTGGACACTCAGGAAAACTGGTGACACAGCACAGTCCAAGTTCAAAGGTCTCAGAACCAAGGAAACTTGTGGTGTAACCATCAGAGGCCAAAGGTCTGAGAACTGGGAACTGCTGGTGAAAGTAATGGACTCTAAAAGCCAGAAAAATCTATTGTTCTAATGACCAACAATAGAAGTGTGTCCCAGCTCTAGAAAAAAAGAATGAACAAATTCATTTCCTTTACCTGAATTAAAAAAAACTATTTTATATTTATGTGTGTGGATGTTTTTAAAAACGGTTATCACATTACATATTCATTTACTATGCATATGTATGGGAATGTGTGTGCTATGACATGAATGTGGAGCTCAGAGACTAAAAGAGTTTGGTTTCCTTCTTCCATTTTGTGGGTCTAGAGGATTGAAGACAGGTCCTCAGGTTTGGTAGTAGGTGCTTTCCCCCAAACTGAGCCATCTCCTTTGGCCATTGTGTAGGTGTAATTTTGTTTGCATGTGTGTATGTGCACTGTGTGCATGTCAAGTACCCACAGAGGCCAGGCGAGGGCATCAGATCCTCAGGAACTGGAATTATAGAAAATGTCAACCACCATGTGAGTGCTGGGAATCAAACCCAGGTCCTCTGCAAGAGCAGCTGTCTCTCCAGCCCCTCCCTTTACCCCCCCTTCCGTGCCTGCAGCCATCTCGGTAGTACCCATTTATACCAAGGGCATGTCTTCCACGCTGGTCCATTGTGTCCACATTCTGACCTTCTCTGAAGCACCCTCACACACATATCCAAAGATAATGGCACAAACCAATTAAGCTGGCTCCTAAAATTAACATTGGCCTTACTTAGGAAGTTACTGATACTATGGTTACCATCCACAGCTTAGGACAAGGCCTTAAACATTGATGGGCATTAGGATGGTTACAACCCAGAAGTCTGGAGGCTTCCAGAGTCTCATCAAAACTGAAGCTATTGTAATTGAAACAGCAGCTGAGCTGGTGAAAATTGTAAACTTTGCATGAAAAGTTGTTTGTTGTTGCCTGGGATGGAACTCTAGCCTTTTGTGTTTGTGTTCTAGACAAGTACTCTGTTACTGAGCCATACCTTTGTCCAGGAATCAAAGTTTAAATCCACATTGGGCAACTTGCAATTCTGGCTCACTGTTGGTTTCAGCAGCACATATAGAAATATTAAAACTAGGGGCTGTAGAGATGACTTAGTGGTTAAGAACACTGACTGTTCTTCCATAGGACCCAGGCTGGATTCCCAGCACCCACCTTCTGTGACTCCAGTTTCAGGGGACCCTGTTAATTCCAAAGATGGGAAGATAAATACCACTAACCTAAATCATCAAGAACATGACCCAAATCAAATAAAGCAAGCAAGCAATTGAAGCAAGCTTTGTTGTTGTTTGTTTTTAAAATTTGAGTACACAGGCTGCTTCCCCCTAAGGAGGGGCTTGAGAGGTTCAGCATTGGATGTGAGGAAGACAGGTTTTTAGAGCTCATGGGTAGGGGGTTTCCAAATGGGGGATTTGGCAGGCAAAATAGGTGAGGATATAGGAGCAGAACATAAGCATAACAAGTTAGTCATAAAGACCTCCTCAAACAAAGACATAATTGCAAGGCGGTTGTGATAACAGGTAGTCATAACAAGGTAGACACAGCAATCCTTTAGAAACAAAGGTAGGATTTCAAGATGGTTATTAACTTTTTTAAACAAAGACAGGATTGTTGTTTCTGGAACAGGCAGTCCAGAACCATTTGAAGTTAAGGTTACAGGTGGGGCATAGCCCAATCCTTGAGAAATAGAGGTTTAATCATAAACAGGAATGAACTTAGTTTGTCTTTACTAAGGTGGCTTTTAAGCCTAATATGGAAGCAAACTTCAATCCAACACCCTTTTGGTCTCTGTGGACACCAGGCATGCATGTGGTACACAGACATACATGCATGCAGACAAAACACCCATACACATTAACAAAACAAAACAAACAAAACCAAAACTGAACTGCATGAAGAAGATTGTCATGGCCCCATGCAAAGACTGTATGCAAATTCCTGAGATGTTTCATTAGGAAGAAGAGAGAAGGAAGTCTGGACCAACAAAAATTCAAGGGCAGTGTCCACATGGCTATGCAAGACAAAGCTTCAATAGTGCCATCATGTGGTAAAAAAGCCAATTGTACAGGAACCCCAGCCACTGAACCACTAATCTTTATTAGAATTTCTTACAGGTAGAGCCTGTGTGGTTGGGGACAGGATCCTGTTGAATTGCAGGAACTAGATTTGCTGACTTACAAGACTATCTGCTCTACAGTAGAGCTTTAGGGTGCAGACTTAGGACTGTGTGTCTAGGGTGCTACAGAGTCAGCCAAAAAAAAAAAAAAAAAAAAAAAAAAAAAAAAAGAAAGAAAGAAAAAGAAAGAAAAGAAAAACGAAGTTAAATGCAACCATCTGCAACTGCATGTATGAAATTTGTTTCTAGTATTGTGATAGAGACAAATATTTTTAAATTAATTATTAATTAATTAATTGTTTTTTGAGACAGGGTCTCTCTATGTAGCCCTGTCTTGGAACACCCTTTGTAGACCAGGCTGGTCTTGAACTCAAAGAGCTCTACCTGCCTCTGCTTCCTGAGGGATGTTTTGTGTTGTTTTTGGGACAAGGTCTCACTGTAGCCTAGGTAGGTCTACAGCTCCTTATATGGACTTCTCAATAATTCTATTTCAACCTTTTCAGTACTGTTTTTATGTACATGCAACCAAATCCAGATCTCCTCTTGGTTCTTTAAAAAATTGTTATTCTTACTGTTATTATCATTATTGGTGTGTGTGTGTGTGTAGTATGTCTGTATTTGTAGTGTACTGTGTGTGTGGTATGTGTGTATCATGGTATGTGTGTGTGGTATATGTGAATGTATGTGGTGTGTGTATGTATGGTGTGTATGTATGTATGGTATGTATATAGTATGTGTATGTATATCTGTGTATGTATGTGTATGTGTGTCTGGGTAAGTGTTGTGGTGTGTGTAAGTTATGGAACAGTTTTTGAAAGTTGTTTCTCTTCTACTGTGCAATCAGGGGATTGAACTTAGGGCATCAGGCTTGTGTAGCAAGTATTTTGTGATGCTAAGTCATCGCCTTGGTTTTCTTTAAGAAAAGTTTAGAGCAACAGCTTGGTAGGGAGAGTTGCTAAAAGTCTCTCTACAAATAAGTCCAACCACTTAAGACAGACTGGAAATGTGGGAGAGTGATTCATGTATTCTTACATTCACACTCTTTGCAGAGTGACTTTGAGGGTCTTGTCCTTGAGAGGCAAAGATTCTGTCCTTATTTCATGAATTTTAGCTGGGTCGACCAACTGATCATGGAATTAAGCAGGTGTAATGCTACTTCCTGGTTTCACATTCAAGAAGTCTTGTAGCCAGGTGGTGGCTCACACCTTTAATCTTAGCACTTAGAAGGCTGAGGCAGGTGATCTTTGAGTTCAAGGCCAGGCTGGGAGACGAAGGGGAGGAGAGAGAGAGGAAGGGAGAGAGGGGGGAAGACAGAAATGAGAGAGGAGGAGAGAGGAGAGAAAGGAGAGGGAGACAAAGAAGAGAGAAAGAGAAAGAGGGGGGGGGGAATAATGGCCATGAGGCAAGTAAGAGAAGAAATGTCTGCAAGTTTTATTTGTAGAGACTGGTAAACTTGAACCATAAAACTGCAAGCAGTGGTTTAGAGAACATGTTGCTAGTGGATGAAAACAGTTCCCTCTGCCCGAGCCTAAGGCTGGAAGTGGCTAGGAAGGAAGGCAGTGGCAAGGCAGTAACTGGACGGGCTGAAGCCTGGGTGGTGGGGTTTACTCAAGCCTGCTCCAGCCTGTGTCAGGCCCTGGGGTCATATACCCGGCCCATGAAGACTGGGTACTTGTGTTGCTGGTCCCAGAGCAGGAAGAGGAAGGGTTGCTGCACCTCGAAGATGATTAAGTTTCGGGCCACAGAGATGGCGGAGGCTGCAGCTGCCTCCACGCCGGTCTCTGTCAGCTCTAGCACGGTCTGGTGCTCCATGGAAGACACCTGAAGATCTGGGTCCTCAGTTAGCCCACACAGGTTGAGATCATAAGTGAAGTCAAAGAATTCTAGGGGAAAAACAAGAGAAAAACAAAATCATCAGAGGTCAGTAGGAGCCAGGTGGGTGCACACCTTTAATCCCAACATAGGCAGAGGCAGGTAGATCTCTGTGAGTTCAAGGCCAGCCAACTCTACATGAGCGAGTTACAGACAGCAAGGGTTACACAGAGAAACCTTGTCTTGGAACAATAACAAAACAAACCAGAGAGCAGCAGTAAATGCTTGGTTGGTGTAGATTCTGCTCTTACATTTCCTGGGTTAGTCTTAAATTTCTCTAGTCTCTTTCTTTTCAGTCTACATCATCCCTCTTGGTCTTGAAAGTGGATTTTGTGTAAGTGGGAACCCTGGTTAGCAGGCCCAACTACCACGCTCAAGAAGCAAGAGGCTTCACTCTCTGCCCACCACCAACTGTCCACTGAAAAAATGAAAAATCATTTCCTTGTCTCCAGGGACTTTGGGAAACAGAGATAGATAATATGCTATAAAATGAGACCATGTGAGGGTATAACGCTATCCTGACAAAGAACTTCTGAAACCTTAACATTTCCTTAGCAACAGACGTGCTGGCAGCACATTTTGTTTTAGTATCTGAAGGTTTTTGTTTTTGTTTGCTTTTTCAAGACAGGGTTTCTCTGTATAACTGCCCTGGCAGGACTCTCTGTAGACCAGGCTGGCCTTGAACTCACAGAGATCCTTCTGCCTCTGCCTCCTAAGTGCTGGGATTAAAGACATGCATCGCCACCACTACCCCCACCATCACCACCCAACTAATATTTGGTTTTTGATCCCGGTTTTTAAAGCCCTAGTAATTCCTCAGCAGTAGAAGTACCAGGCGTATCTTTTAGTCTATTATTTGGTTTCTGATCCTGGTTTTGGGAAATTAGATTATATGTTAGGTGATCAAGTTGTCAGGACAGGAAATGAGTGACAGATCTAGCTAGGGATGAAGTCACAGGTTAGAAAGGGGTGCTTCTAAAGTCTCCCCCAAACTCAGAAACCACAGATTCATATCTAGATGGGTTTGAGCTTATTCTGTGAAGTGGTTGACTAGTGAATGTGGCCAGAAAGTGAATATCCACAGCCCATCTGGGTCACCTGTTCCAGTGAGCACCAGCAGAAATACCCCTGAGCGATGGAGATCTGGTTTGACTTCAACTAGTTCAAAGGTAAGTCATGCAAACTTCGGGTGTGTTACATATAGTTTCTGTTTTCTCAGTGACCTTTAACACACATAGCTGAGGTGAAGAAAAGCATTCTAGAATAATAGCAAGTTTTTAGCACCACTTTCCCCCTTCTCCTCGTGACCCAGGTGAAATCTCAAATGGCCAGGGCTCACCCATTTTCTCCATGATTGACAGCATGTCTTGGCTGCTCTTTACTTTGATACGAGGCATCATAAGGTAAGTGGGCTGGTATTTAGACAGTGTCAGCTTCTTCATGATGGCTTTGAAGACAGTGGGGGTGAGTGCCTCTTCCATATCTTCAAGTTTGTGCTTCTGGCTCTGGGGTACCATGATCACAAAGCTCAGGTTGTGAGAGAGCTGTAGTTGTCCCACCTGGACAGTATGCGATAGACCGCATTAGCTCTTCCAACCCAAGCTCTTTGCTGTCCTCCCCCTTGCCCAGGGCTCCAAGACTGTCTTCCAGAGTGTACTGCTTCAATAAGCACCAGCCAGACCTGACTGCCTCGATGTGCCATGAAATGGGGCCAGTTGGTCAGACTAAAATGCACTGATCCTGGTGAGAGCTCAAGGAATGAACACAAGTTTTGGATCATACCCTGACTAGCTATGTAATAACAGAGAGGGGTTTGGTTTCCCTCTCTCCCTTTCCCCCTCCCTCCCTTCCATAGAGTATTATGTAACCCAGGATGGGTTCAAACTAACAGAGGATGATCCTGAGCAACCTTCTTCCTCTTGCCCCCCCTCCCCATTTTTTTTTTTTTTTTTTTGAGACATAGTTTCTCTGTAGCTCTGGCTGTCCTGAAACTTGCTTTGTAGACCAGGCTGACCTTGAACTCACAGACACCTGTCTGCTGGGATTAAAGGTGTGAGTGCTGTCTCCTGAGTGCTGGGATTAAAGGTGTGAGCCACCACCACCTGGCTGACCCTAAACTACTGATCCCTCTGCCTTCATTTTCTATATGGTAGGATTACAGGTACATACCACCACAGTTAGTTTTATGGGTGCTAGGGATCAAACCCACAGCTTTATGTACACCTGGCAAACACTCTACCAACTGAGCTTGAGATAGTTTATTTAATCCCTGTTTCTTTTAGATTTCAAATTATTTCTAGATTACTTCTAATACAGAATACAAAACTGCCATGCAAATAGTTGCTATACTGTATTGTTTAGGAAATAATGACAAGAAAAAAGTTTGTTCATGTTAAATATAATTGTTTTTCTCAAGTGTTTTCTGTCCATGGATGTACTGTGGATATGGCATGCTGACTTAAAGCCTTCCCCAAGAGACACAGATATATACACATAGTGGAAAGGTCAGGAATGCTTAGGCACTGGGCATGGGAGAATTTACTAACTAGAATCTTTTGGGCTCCATATTCTGTTTTTGGACAAGATCTTTCTTTTATATAGCCTGGCTGTCCTGGAACATGGTATGTAGACTAGGCTGGCCTTGAACTCACAGAAAATTATCTGCCTCTGTCTCCAGAGAGCTAGGATTAAAGGCATGCACTACCAAGCCCAGCTTGGTTGGGTTCCATATTCTGTCTTATGTGGTTCAGTGTTTGCTAAAGAACTTAATTCAGCCTGTAATAACTTAATTCAGCCTGTAATGGTGGTGCAACCTTTAATCCAAGCACTTGGGAGGCCGAGGCAGGTAGATATCTGAGTTCCAGACCATCCTGGTTTGCAGAGTGAGTTTCAGGACTGTCAGGGCCACACAGAAAAACCTTGTCTCCAAAGAACAAAATAACAAGACAAAAAGTTAACTTAACACCTGTTTATACATATACTTAACACATATCTACACATACACAGTGATATAGCTATGAGTATACTTACACATATGCATAACTGTACAACAGTACACACACAGAGGACATAGAAAGCTATCGGTGGACCCAGAGTGGTGGCTGCTAAGAGAGATGCACAGAATTTAAAAAAGACTCACTTTTTGCCATTTGATGCAGTAGAGATGAGTGAAGAAACTTTAGAATCATGTCTAGACTCATGTCTTCCAGCCTAAACTTCCCTGCCTCCAAAACGAGAAAGAGGAGAAGCAAAAAAGAGGGAGGGACTACTAAATGGAAGAAATAGAAATAGGGAATTTGCAAGCAGGAACTCCATAACGATAAGCCATCACAGAAAGAAAATCAGGACACTCAGATACATCTGAAGCAGGAATGGGATGAGTCAAGAACTTACCTTGGCCTTCAAAGTCTGGTCACTGAAATGGGCCATAGGGTACTTTTTGCTACTCATCATAGGCACTTTAATCACAGAGTTTTTGTAGCGGAAAGATGCCTTCATATTTTTTTGTTCAAATGTTTTCTTCCACTTGGCTAAGGGAAGAAAGGGTAGCTATAATGCAGGTAGGGACAAAAGGGTGCTAAAGGCCCTGTTAGGAAAGGGTAGGACAGTCACACAGGGATGTGGCTGTGGAACTGTGAGGCTGGTGGAATGTGAAGACAGGATGGGATGGGAGGCAGAGCTGCACTAGGCACACTACTTGCCAGATGTTTTCCTTACCACTCAAGTAGACAGCATTCAGCAGGACAAGGCGAGTGTCAGAGGGCAGGCTGTCTAGCAGCTCACTAATCTTGTGATTGGTTTTCTCAGCCACCCAGGTGTTGATGAGTTCTAAGTTAGCATCATTGTCTGGGCCCAGAACTCTGGGGCTATTTCCATACAGACTCTGAGAGGCATTCACGTAAGTGTCCCTTATGGCCAGGTCTGAGAGGCAGACAAGAGAGAGAAGTATGAGTCCTCTGTACAATTCAACTTGCCTTTGAAGAGCAAGTGTGAATGATCACACTTCCCCTATGTTTTAGTTTTCCTTTTTGCTTTTTGTTTGTTTGTTCTTCCTCTCCTAGGAAGGGTGCCTCCCACTCACTACCAGCCATTCTGATACCCTACCTCCACCAACTCTTGAGCATCCCTGCAGAAATGGCCAGTTCTAGGGTCCCAAGTTTAAAAACAACTGCATCAGATTATTTCTGAAGTTTCTTCTCCTTATTTATTGCTTGCTGGTATTATCTACCTAACATAAGCATGTAAATGATAACAGCACAAAAGCACAAAGGGTGAGTCTGAAGACTTGGCCTAAAACTTTGCAAAACATATCATTTTATGCTTCTAACTCTAACCTTCTAACTTCTAACCTCTAGAAGTGTCCAGCCCTACTATTAACAGACTTTCTTACTCTAAAGGATGGACAAACGCAAATGATTTGCCTAGGTCTCAGAGAGAGAGGAGTCCAGCTCCTGAAGCTACTGAATGTCCTGCTGCGACCCCCATCTACTCTTATTCATCCCCCGTATAGTCCCTCCATCCTTTTTTCCAAGCCTTGTCTTCCAGAATCCTCCATGGCTTACTGTCTGCCCTGGACACTCACCTGGGCTGTGGAAGATCTGTGACACAGAAGTGACACCTTTGGATGAAAAGGCCTTCAGAGCCTGGTGGACACAGGCAAAATCCTTGGGGTAGGAAAGGACACTCTCTAAGTTGCTTTTGGTGCTGTCTCCAGCCCCTACAACAGAGACAGAGAGAGATAAGAGTTCTTGGGAGAGGAACAGAAGACCCACTATTTGGGACTAGGGCTGAAGACTGACTAGAATGGAGGGTGTTTCCTGCTATGGTGGGGTTTCAGAGCACCAGATCTTCTGGAAGACAGTTCATGGGTCGGGAAGAAGATGGTGGAAGGTGCTGAGTTGTCTTACTACACTTTCCCAGGACTTCAGACATCTTCCTTCCCTGTTTCTCCATTGTTGTAAATCACATATATCTTTATAAGCACTGCTCCACACTAACTCTGATTTAGATGGTTTGGATTTACAAAGGGGCATCCTATAAGCAGAGGCATTTGATCACTATTATAAGAGAGGATGGGTGTTCTTTTCATTAAACACTTAATTGTGCACATCTTCTCTGCTACAACAGCTAAAATTCATTGAGAGCATTTCTTCTAGTCCAGGTATTCCAATGCTTCTCCTATGTTATCTTATTAAATCATTGCCAAACCTTTTACATAGGATACTCACTTTCCTATTAGATAGAGGGGGCCTTGAAGTTTCAGAAATTGTGTTATTAATGCATTTAAGGCCACAGAACTAATAGGTGGAAGATAAACAAAGCATTTAAACTGAAGTGAATGGAATCAACTGACTAGAAAGGATCTCTCTGGAGATTCTAAGGATGTCTGAGTACAGTCTGGTTGTCATGCCTGGAGAGTCAGGTGCTACCAGCATCTCACCGACTATGATGAGATGTTAGGATTTTGGGATATCAGGAGAAGGGGTTGTGCTTGTGCAGTCTCTAGGAGCCTTCCTGGAATTTTCCTTGCTGGGATGTGAGGGGTATGACCTCTCTCTCTCTCTATCTACTGCCTGTGGTAATTTGTCATTGTCTTTCCTAGAAGAATCACTCTTATGAAGGAAGGTTTTTTTTTTTTTTTTCTTTTAACTCCAAAAGAGTCAAGGTACCACATTATCTGATTCTTGGTTTTCAGAGGTAGATATCACCATCTCTACTTAACAGTTGAGAATTCCTACTCAAGACAGCTTAAGTGAACTGCCCATGGTTGCATAGCTAGAAAGTGCTTTACCATGATTCTATCTTATCTCTGATAATGTCAACTCCCTTATTACCTTTGAATCATGATTGGTGAATAGGGCCTGATTTTATATGCTGTTAATGAGTCCCTAGGGTTTTTATTCATTCATTTATTTTGGTTTTTTGAGGCAGGGTTTCTCTGTGTAGCTTTGGAGGCTGTCCTGGAACTAGCTCTGAAGACCAGGCTGGCCTCGAACTCAGACATCCGCCTGCTTCTGCCTCCCAAGTGCTGGGATTAAAGGCATGCACCACTAACACCCAGCTCCCTAGGGTTTTTATAAGCAATAGTACATAATTAAACCATTGTTAAATAAAGCAGCGTTCAAGAATGAAGATCTATACCCCTATCATGTAGCCTGTTTTACAGCTTCTTTCCAGTGACATAGGCTGGAAGAGGTGTGTGATTGGTGATCCCATGTACAGCCTGGTTGGAAGTTAGAGTCTTACCAAGAAGGACCTGTGTGAGGAGGCTGGCAATGCTGAATGGGGAGAAGGCCATGTTGGTCTCAGCCTTCTTGGTGGCTGAGAAGGCGTGATAAAGCTTCATAGAAAAATCTGTCAAAGCTTCCGCCAGTGTAACCTCTGAGGAGCCTCTGAAATCAGAGCACTGAGCCAGGGGCCCTGGGCAGAAGGGTTCAATGGGAGCCTGGGTGGGAGAATCTGTGGTTGTAGAAGGCTCGCTGGAGGGATCCATGGGGGAATGGCTGGAAGGATCCATGGGGGGCTGGCTGGAAGAATTCATAGAAGGCTGGCTGAGAGAATCCGTGGGTAGCTGCACAGCAGATTGGATGTGCTGGATGATGGACTCGGTGGTGTCAGCTGTGGTTCTGGTGGGTTCATTGGTTGTTGTCCCAGTAGAAGACTGTACTGTATGCTTGTTGGGACTCTGGGGGCCATCTCCCTCAGGGATGGCGTCTTGAATGACCAATGGATCCTGGGTGCTGTGGCTGGTATCTGAGAAGGCTCTATCCTATGGTTCAAGAAACAGGGTTTCATTTCTTAGTAAGCCACATTCCCCTCAACCACTCCAAACAGGAAGATGGTGAGAGCATTGTACCAGTTGCTTTTGGTATAGCCTAGCAAAAATAGGCAATGCTGGGGGAATTCTCTACAGGAGACATGAAATAATTCCAGTTTGTTTATCAGTTATCTGTGTTCAGTGACCGCCATGCAAGAAGTTGTTTTCTTGTAAACAATTTCTTGTACTTGTTTTGACTCACTTTCCAGGGTAGTATAGACATTTGCATTTGTGAGCCTTCTTTGAGGACTGTGGACTTTCAAAGCATGCATGTGGTATACTGGTGGGTATTGGAAACAATTAGTATATGGAAAGGGAAGAAAGAAAGAGTGGAAATTAGGTGCAATGGCACAGCCTGCAACCCCAGTCATCTAGGCATTTGGGAAGTGGAGACAGGAGGATCTCTTTATGGGAAGTGTTTTCAGAAGTGGGAAGGAATGCATGTAAAATCCAGATCCCTTGCTCAATCGGATATCATGTGCTGACTCCCCAAGGTCACCCAGGATGCCAGTTTCCAGAATAACACCCTGCTCATCCACCGGAAGCAAGTACTCACTCTATTCATGAGTTTACTTTTTATCCCTGTCCTCCTAGCTGGCTCTTAACCTTGGCACTGGCCCAGGTCTGTCTGCCAGCCTTCTTCCTTGCACCCCACTTTTTACAGACCCTAGCTTGGAAGAGCCTGCCACAACTGCAAGGGTGGGAGTGGGGTGGGGAGGGGGGTGTTTTCCACAACTTGGGGCTTGCCTTGCCTTCTATGACCCAGCCAAGCCTGGCTGATGAGCGGGGTGGGGTCCATGTATTTTCCCTTTTATATATTGGGTTAAGGAAACCTGGAGAAGGATCCGGCCCAAGGACATTCAGCTAATGTATCTTCTGATATGAAACCCTCCTGCTGTAACTTTCCCGAGTGCTAGAGCTAGGCCTGAATTTAAGAATCCCAGGAGATTCCCTCCTTTGCCAGGGCCTGAAGGGTTAATCCTCCCCCCCACCTCCACCCCCACCCCCACCCCACCTTACAGAGGGACCACTTACCCCAGCCAGCAGCAGCAGCAGCAGGAGGGTCAGCGGGGTCAGCCTGGAGGCCATCTGGGCAGGAACGTCAGCTGCGCCCTGCGAAGCCAGTTACCCTCAGAGCCAGTCCTGAGCCTAGAGCTCAGGGGGTCCACCCCATCCCCAAGCCCGCCCCCACTCCGTTCCAGGCCTCGACCCTTCAAGACACGTTCCCGTCTCCTCCCTCTGGGGCCACCTTCTCCCTGGCTCCGCCCTCTGTTTTGTTTTCCCCAAACCGCTTCCCTTTCCCGGCACCGGCTGGCCCTTCTCTCCCTTCACGCCCAGGTCTCAGTCCATCTGTTCAATCTGCCGGGTCCTGCTCAGCTAAACAATAAGCTAGGGGCAGCAGGAGAGGAGGGCTAGGGCGAGCTGGGCAACACAACTATGAAGGAGGGTGAGGCAGAAGGCTCAAGTGGAAGAAAGCCTTTGGAAACTGCAGAGATAACAAACGGGACTGGAAAGTGGGGGAGAAGGAGGCTGCAGACCTCCCTGCCAAGCCCTCTTGACTTCCTTCCCCAAAGCCCCCATTACCAAACTTGGTCCAAGTTCTTGGTCACTAGGCAGCTTCAGGGAGACTGAGTGGACAGGCGCAGAGGGTCAGTGAGGGTGGAGGGGGGGGCAGTCTCAGCTATTGGTTGACTCAGGACACTGCCCAGTTAAAATTTAAGGATAATTGATCACTAGTGTGAGTTCCCGTAAATCAGGATGGGAAAGGCCTGGAGCTCCTCCTGGAATGGGGTGGAAATGGGGAAGATGCGATGGGATGGGGTGGGGAAGCTTGAGGGCAGTTCTCAGCGATACACAACCAACCATTCCTCTTATGCTTCGTGGATCAAGATAAAAGCAGAAGAAACATAAATGTGTCCAGCATTTTACAAGAGATGAGCACTTTTGGATAAATGGGTAAAGTAACCCTTTGAAAATAGGCCATTTGATAGTTAAGACACCAAACCTTAGGAGCAGTTAAATGTCTGGTATTTCCATTGCTGTCATTTGGAGATATGAAAGGCTTGGGCGCTAAGTCTCCTAAAGTCCTAATGGGTACGGGATCATCCCTATCACTACACATAATCAGTTGTTCCAAGTTTGAGAACAAAGAATCTGAGGTTCCACCTGAGCCCGGGTTTCAATTCCTAGTGCCGCAACAAACCAAAACAACTACAAAAAGCAACAACCAAGACAGAACCACAATTCCAAACCAGCCAAACAAACAAGTCTGGCTGTGTATGTATTTGTGATTGAGTTGTCACAATAAGCCTGTTAAAGGAGACCCTGGCAAGGAGGAATCCAGTTAAATGTGAATTTTAAATAAGTCCCATGCAATCTTGGAATATGCTTGTGATAAAACTTTTTGCCATTATTGTGTATCTAAAATTCAAATTTGACTGAGCCGTCTGTATTTTATTTGCCGAATCTGGCAGTCCCACATCCTCTACAAAGCAAAGCTCTGGTAACCTGGTGTAGCTATGAAGTTCTGTTATCATCTAACTGCGGGTCTGACCTCTGCCTGGGTTTGCCTCCTTCAAAAAAGTTTGTAAGTGTCAAAGGTAAGTTTGGACCACATCTGGCTGATGTTGAATCTAGGGTCAATCTATAAGGAGCCAACAGAATGAGATCCTATGCCCCAGCACTTTCTGGCTGAAGTTTCAGGGTGAACAGTAGAGAAGCAGAGAGACTTTCTCTGGTTGTACATCTCTTTCCTTGAATATTTTGCTCACCACTGTCTGTGTGCCCTGACCATTCACAGGGTATCTGCATTGAATCAGCTTTCTTATTTGATGAAACTGGAGCTGCAACTCACTGTGCAGTTGTGCTACCTTGTTGACTGAATTTCTTCCTAGTGTGGACGATCTTTATCCAACTGGTGTAAAGTTGTAAATTCAGTCTTCCCTCCATCCCCACTGGGGCGGGCCAGCAGGTGTTTATGCTTTGGTACTTTTTATTGCTTTGTGTGACTGAGCTTTGTCTCTGATTTCCTACCACACACTTCTTTCTGTGGAAGCCACAGTGTTGACAGCCACAAGTAAAAGTTTGATGTGGTTCCTGATGTCATTGTTACCACAGATGATATCTGCATTTACTACTTTTATGTATCACTATTGCCTCACGTGGACATTTTTCTGCTTAGTTCTACAGAGACTGAGCCTTTCTGGAAATCTTACTCTAGAGTGTGCATTCACAATCCTTCTGCTAAAACTCCCATTCTTTCTCCCTGGCAGCCTCCAGCAAGAGGTGGATGGAGATGAGGAATGAAGACTGGAAATTAGACACAAATATTTGTGGAGACCACAAACTTTTCAATTCTGAAAACCCTAAAGGGCTTGTTTGAAGCACACAACTTTTTAGAATAGAATAGTAACATTTGATGATTTCCTATGCAGACATTCTAAATTGCTTCACTCATTTATCTAAGGATACTTTATTCTTTCAAAGTTATCAGTACAATATCTTACATGTACCTTGTAAAACTTGAAACAAGTCAGTTATTTGTAAAATTAAGTCATTGTAGACACAACCACTTTTTTTTTTTTTTTGGTTTTTGGAGACAGCACTTCTCTGTATTGCTTTGGAGCCTGTCCTGGAACTAGCTTTGTAGAACAGGCTGGCCTTGAGCTCACAGAGATCTGACTGCCTCTGCCTCCCAAGTGCTGGGACTAAAGGCATATGCCACCAATGCCTGGCTGACACAATCACTTTTTAACCACTAACCACTCCAAGTGTATCCTTCCAGGATTTCTTATTTATAAAAATATATATAGCACAAATAATTATTGCTTTCTTCTTTCTTCTTTTTCTTCCCCCCTTCTCCCTTACCCCCACCCCTCGCTATTTTTTTTTTTTTTTAGAAAGGGTCTCATATAGCCTTGGACTCAAACTTGGGATATGAGAAGACCTGGAACTTCTGATCTTCCTTCTGCTTTCACTTCTCAAGTGCTAGGGTCTTAATAGGTTTTATGCCTCCATGCCCAGTGCTGGGTGGTGCTGGGGATTGAACCTAGGGCTTTATGCATGCTAAACAGGCACTCTACTAATAGAGTTATAACTCTAACCCCCATAATAATTTTCTTTCTTACTTAATAATGTGTCATGAGAATTTGACTGAGTAATTATAGGTAGCCCTAGCTCATTCTTTCTAACAAATGAACAACATTCCATTGTATGGATGTATCACAAATTATTATTATTTTTTAATCTCAGGCATAATGAAATTTGAGGTGATTTACAAACTAGTCCTAGCTTCCTGCTGATTCCAGAAGGTTCTCTCACTTGCTGACATTTATCCTTTCTTTCCCAGCCACATACCTGATGTCTTTGCTGCCTTCCTGGGCCTAATGTTTGTTCATAGCTGTTGGTTGTCATCTCTTAGATCAAGCAAGAGGTGATCCAGATGTGAATTTGGTCTTCGTTGTAGGACAATTTTGTTGTTGTTCAGGCAGGGTTTCTTTGTAGCTTTGGAGCCTGTCCTAGAACTCACTCTGTAGACCAGGCTGGCCTTGAACTCACAGAGATCTGCCTGCCTATGCCTTCTAAGTGCTGGGATTAAAGGAGTGAGCCACCGACGTCTGTCTGGCCTGATTCATTTTTAAAAAGAGCTGAATAGCCAATAGCTAAGCAGGAAAAGATAGGTGAACTTCCTGGAAGACAGAAGAACTCTGGGGAAGAATCTGAGAGGTAGGGAATTCACCAGTGAGTCATGGAGGAAGCTGGATGTACTAGCTATGTGACAGAATGTAGATTAATATGAATGGGCTACTTTAAGTTTTAAGAGCTAGTTGGGAACAAGCCTAAGCTAAGGGCAAACTTTCATATTTAATAAGAAGTCTCCATGTCATTATTTGGGAGCTGGCAGTCCAAAGAAAGTCCAGCTATACTTTGTATTAGTTACTTTTCTATAGCTGTGATAAAACATGACAATCAATTCAATTTATAGATGTATACCCCCATGCTTGGCTCATGAACTTGTTTTTGAAACTAAGCGTATTTATGGAATCACTTAGAAAATAGTTTTATTTCCTGATGAAATATGTGTTGCAATGGCTGTCCAAATCTTCAAATTTTTATTATTTAAAACTATTTATGGTGGAAAACAGTTCATAAAGAAAATTCCATAGGAATAACCATAGTTTGTTAAGTACTATAAAGGTGATATCCATGAACCATAACTCTGATTAAGGAACAGGATATTGTTGACACTCCAGCAGTTCTTTCTTGTCAGTCACAAATTCCACTGCTGTAGGACACACCATTCTAATGCTATTGCAAATATCTTCCTGCTTGCTCCCTCCCTTTCTTAGTTCCCCCCTTCTTCCCTTCCTTCCTCCCTCCCTTCCTCCCTTCTTCCCAGCCTCCTTCCCTTCCTTCCTCCTTTCCTTCTTCCCTCCCTCCCTCCCTCCCTTCCTTCCTCCCTCTCTCTCTCCTTCCCTCCCTTCTTTCCTCCCTCCCTCTCTTCCTTCCTTCCTTTCTCCCTTCCTTTTTCCCCTGTGGTGATGGAGATTAAATCTAGGGCCTGTGTGGTAGACAAGCACTCCACCACTGTTTATGACAAAGTCTTCAGTAACCCTGGATGGTCCTCAGACTGTGTAAACAAAGTTGACCTTGAACTTCCCATGAGCTGAGAGTACAGGCATATACTACTACACATGGCTTGGCCCTTGAGTTTTTTTGAGACAGGATCTCCCTACGTAGGTAGGCTGGTGTCAGCCCTTCAAGCCTCTTGATTCTGACTCCTGAATTATAGGAGTGGACCATTGTGCCCAGTTTATGAAGTGCCGGGAACCAAATTCAGGCTTCTACATGATAAACAGGTACTGTCCACTGAGTTATACCTCCAGCCTTGGCTTTTAAGTTTGTATTACAGTGTACATTCCTAGATACCTGACTTCTCTCACTGAAAATAACACTTTTATGCATGCATGTTCATGTGCATACATGTGTGTGAGTGGACACATGCTTTTGTGACATGCACATCAAGACCAAAGGACCACCACTTCAGATGTTGTTCCTAAGAAACCATGCATCTTTCCTCGCCAGCTTGGAACTCTCTAGCTAAGCTGCCTGGCCAGTGAGCCCTGTGATCAGTGTGTTCCTTCCTCCTTAGTGCTAGGATTACAAGCATATTCCTCCAAACTGGATTTGTTCTTAAATTGTTT